TCAAATAAAGGTGCAGCTCTCTGTACCTCAATCTACACACAGTACAGGTGTTGCCACTGGTTGGGTACAAATAGTATCAAGCTGTAGAGGGCAGAGGAGGCCTTGGGTGCCAGTGATGAAGCTTCACAGCTGATACCACTCAAGCTGACGAGCCCCTACTTCAGCACACAAGCCTCCTCTTCAACATGTTTTCAGGGTGAGCCAGATCTGGCAACCACCCTTTAATGTGCCGGTGTTCACTGATTCTGTTCTTCAGTTAGACCCTTTATGCTCAGGAAGAGTGCCTTTACTGACCGAGCCAATAAACAGCCCCGGGAACCTAGAACAGGAGCCTCTGACTCACCCAACAGAGGAACGTGTGTGTCCAGACACTCATGGTGAATATCCAGGTAGCACAACATCCCCCGTAAGATTATTTCAAATAATAATGAGGCAGCGAGAAGGTTTGGCCACATACTTACCCACATGTGTGGGCCGCCGTCCACTTTTTCTTGTGTCATTGTCGTCCTCCTGGCTCCTTGGCTATTCCTCCTCTTCATAAACACTTTCAGTTCATGTATTTATTCTGTTCACCGTCGGCTTTTTTCAAAGCATCTTTTGGCAGCGGTCATGCTGGTGACTGACAGAACTGCATTATGTTAATTATTTTTCTTGTCATATTTATTTTTCCCTTTCTTTTGCAAACCACATTTCCAGCCCCATGCATCATCACAAAGTCTGATTTATGCGATGAGATTAACGTGTTTATTTCGGTCCTGTTAAAACTTTTTTATATTTATTTGTTTGTACATTTGACTCGAGTGACATCTTGATGTAACTGCCAACAATGATTATGTAGCCAACCTACAAACCACAATCTGAGAGAAGGATAATAATATTCCCAACATTCCATTACACACTATGCTAGGAACCACATCAGATCCGTGTCACAGTTTCAAAGAGGTCTGTGAAAAATTGTGAATTCAGTCTAATTATTAGTGAACATCCACATAAAGTAAAATTTCACACATGCCACTTGCAGCAATTGTTAATTGTTTTAAGTTACTTCCATAATTAATATTACTTTCAATAACTGATGGCATCAGCTAATAAATTCTTCCCACTGCCCTTGAAGCTGCAGCTTTCATCTACGAGGCGAGATGTACAAATGCCACTGGGTAAATTACCAAAGTTCAGCAGAATTTGTTTGCATTTCCCCAGGATATCATGTTATTGGTGTCTTAGGTCAGTTGCATTAATTTGGAAAAGAAAAAAAAAACATTTTCTGCCACAGACAGTGGCCCTTGAAAGTGGCCCAGAACCATTTGCTTTAACATTCATTACAAGTCTGCTGCAAAACTATAGTTGGACTGTGGAACATGAAAGGGTTGGTATGGCCTCAACCAAAATCTCTCAATTTTTTCCCCTTTCCACTCCTTTCCTTTCATCTGAAAGCAACTCGGGCTGTTTAAAAATAATACTCCAGTTTCTTAAAGCTTTTGTTTATATGCCAGTTCTGAAATGTCAAGAGAACGGTGAGTAAAACCGCGAGAAAAACAAACCCTCCATTGTTGTATTTTCACGTGGATAAATCATGGGGAAAATTATTTTTTTGCCCAGATGCTATATGGAATTTATCATTCCTATGTTTGATATACAGAAAATGAACACGACGAAAATCAATAAATACCACTGCACCCACACCATTTACAATTTTTAGGTGATTTTTTTTTGGCACTGCGTCGTGTGTCTTGTTTTTCTTTCTGTGCCACAGACAGTGCATATCATTAAGTATTTTAATAACAGTTGCAAATTGGCCCTTCTCTAGAGTGTAAACCATAAAAAAACATATTTACTGGTTGACCAAATCTATGAAGTGAGGTTTCAATTAAGATGCTTTTGTTACTTTCTGTTTCATTAATCAGATTGTCTTTATCCGAGGCAGGATACACTTTTGCACCTTCATATAGCTGGACCTTTGCCTACCTTGATCTGTCCATAACTTTTGGGTTACCTCCTGTGACTCTGGCTTGCTTAGATCCGCTTAGGCGTCCATATTATGTACAAAGTGCTTATCTAGTGCAGAATGACAGTGAGCCTAGTCCTTATCTCAGGAAGCACAGGACAACACCAAGGGAACAGCCTGAGCAGGATGCCAGTCCATTACTCACACATTGTATAAGCAATTTAGAGACACCAATTTACCTAACTACATGTTTCTGGGTTGCAGAGCATGCTGAATTCACTACATGAAGCAGAGGTGGGATTTGAACCAGCAACCCTATGAGGCACCAGTGATACCCACTGGGCCACGATGTTATACCCAGTGAAAAGATCACAATTGTAAAATGAACCCAAAGAGTTAGACAGGAATTATGTGCAGTGCATTCATTACTAAAACCATCAATTGGACAAGCAGAAAATAAAATGGATGGGTAAATTAATATATTCTCAGGAAAATATGAGTGTTAACACTAGTGTTCTGAATCAAACACAACATAGTACAGAAGCAGTACAGCCAGGTTCTTCAAGAGCTGGAATTGAGAACACTTATGGGTATTAAGCATTGATTGGTCCCAACCTCCCTGCAGCCGGGATTTACGTAGTAGACTAAGGAAAATCTGGTCTGATTGATTAAGCTTTACGTGAACAGCAATAAAGACGAAAGTGTGAGGAAGAAACAGTGTATTGCACAATGAATTTTCACTCAGAACTTCGCTGTTCACTGCAAATGCTTACATTAGGCATTTTACACGCATTTGAGAACGTAAAGCCTTTGAAGAGCGAAAGAGGAGAGGCGCTTTTAGGGTGGGAAGGCAAGGAAGCGTGCTGCTCTTCCTGCACTCGCTTTTTATCTGGGGCAGCTGATGGTTTAACTAGCTTGGATCGGCTGATAGGACATCCTCCCACGTGTGCGCACAATCTCTTTAAGGCGTACAGCTAATGCCAGGCGGGGGGTATTTTTTTAGCCTTCAGGCGAAGATGCTTTCATTTTGCTATATTTACGATTTAGTTTCCTTTCTTCAGCCGATCTACTTGATGTATTAAATCGTCAATGCTTTCTTCAAAACTAAATTTGATTTACTAGAGTAATGCTTTAATGCACACAGTTTCCGCATACCCATGTATTTCCACAAAGAACAAATATTTTATATTATTTCTGTGTTACCGAACCTTTGAAATAAGTATGTCGAAGCAATGAGGATAAAATGCATGATCTGATATAACATGTCGTTCCCAACTTGCACATGCATTACATTTTACCCACTACAAATTGATGGTTATAAATGCGTACAAACACGACCCTAACTTGGCTAAGAGGTTTTAAAAATGGATAGGTGGTAATGCACGTAACTGATAGGTTATAGTGGGTGGTCTGTGAATTTGTTGAATTAAATCTCTTGCTGTAAAGCAAAACACTGCCTTCTAGTGCAGGAGAGTGTTAGCGTCCCAATTTCCATTTATTAGTGTCGCCAGAGTTACAGTATTTCAGAAGTACCAAAATTCACAAGAGCAGACAGCTATAGGGCAGGTTTTTTAATGTGAAGCTTTCTGGAGCCCTGACGGTGAATTTAAAGTTGGTTGAAATTTTAAAAAGCCCTGATTTGATTTAAGCATGAAATCCTTCTAAAGCAGTAGGCGCTTTCACACCAGCAGAACGTTTTTTTTTTTTCTAGGACCATAACCTTTTCCGAAACCAGGGACTTTTGTCGTGCTCACACCGCAGGAACTCGGCCCGATTGTAGTTCCTCGGAGGCAGTTCCGGAACCCTTTTTTAGTACCTACTACAGTCTCGGACTATGGGGGAGGCGCTTACAGCCATAGTTTGCTGATTGGTTGGCCACAAGCACCGGCTCTAACATGGAAGCTACGCGAAAGTGCAGAGAAAGACATTTAGCGGAGCAAAAAGTGAGCAGAGGGAATTGTTTCTGTACCGCAATTACACTTCAATTATTTACACATCAATTAATACATTTTTGCTTGCATCTCCATATTTGTGCATCGGAAATTATCACCGATAACTTCCAGCGCTTATTAGCGGGATAATGTTAAATCGTTTTTTATTCTCTTTGGAAAATGAAGGTCCGATCGACTGGCCAGGTTTATTAATGAATTATAAATGTTGCAGGCCCAATAACTAACGAATAACTACATAATTATCCTCCACTGTCATAACGTGGCGGTGTAGTTTGGTAGGTTCCGGAACTCCGCAGTGGAAACGCATAGTGAGGCGCCAGCCGTATGCAGGGAAAACCCTGAACTCGGTTTTCTGGTTCGTTGTTGCTTTATTTGGTGTTAGGGGAATAAAGTGTATCCTTCCTATAACTGATGGTCGTCATTACTCCAGGTACGGGATTCAGACTTAAACAATCAGCTTAGGAGTCTTTTCATGGAGGGTTTTACACTAAAATGACCTGTTTCTATTCTCCTCATCCAGAAACGGTAACTGAAGCATCCTTCTGCATTGCCAGTTTGCACTTTTTATTCGCATGGTTATGAGTATCACTCAAGTGATTCATAAACTAGAGGAAATGGTTCTGCGGTGGAAAATACTGAGCTCAGTGAGTCTAAACAATCCCGACAAACAAACGCTGATAACTCTGCGGCGGAAAAAGAAAATATCTGACCTATTGTCACTTCTTAAGAGTGAAGCCCTCGGTGGGAACGTGGAGACAAAAGGCGTGTCGTGCGATATTTTAACAGGCCAAACAGCGAAAAGCTCCACGGCGCACAGGAACCACGATATGCTCACGATCCACTGTAAGTGCGACGCCGTGTGTTTGACCGAGCCCACGCCTTACGTGGGGGCGTCTTTCCGCGCCGCATCGGTTAAGCAGCGGCTGGTCCGTAGCACTACACCTTAAATACACGTAATCTATATTTCTGAATGCACATTTAATTACATATTATAGATTTTAATATAAACACCGTCATTTGTCATTTTTATGTCACTGCATTACCCTGATTGCATGTGAGTAGCTGGAAGTAGACAGTCAATATACTGACCACTGTACGGTTTCTGAAGTTATGGAAGGGAAATGTTTTATTTGTCCATTCGCTGTCATTAAACGCAGCTTTTTCTTGTTACTGTAATAGGACTAAGCTTGGAAGGTTTGAAATGTTAACACTGCCACCTCGTGGGGGAAGAAAGATTCAAATACGTCAGCGCTTTAAACCATTAATAAATAATGTTTCTTGGAAAGAATAAGGTCTAAGAAGACGAATTTGTCATTACAGGTGTGCTGTAACAATTTTATAGCTCAAATTAAAAAGTGAATTGGAATTTATGATAGCCACAAAGTTATTAAATTAGCATTTCTTAACCATGGTAACGTGTAAAAAATACAGATTAATAATAAAAATGGTTCATTGTCATTATTTCTGTCTACATATTACCCCTTTCTTTTCCTTCACTAAAAAAATTGCACTATTTGATGCAGAACGGTATATTACAATCGTTAGCGCAAATAACCATTAATCTGTGGCAGAAACCATTAGCAATTTCATCAGCTGTGCAAAATATTTAGTTAAGGTACTAACTGCAAAAGTATTAATAAGTGACCAACATGCCTGGGCAGGGGTTAAGGGCTGGGTAGGGGTTAAGGGCTGGGTAGGGGTTAAGGGCTGGGCAGGGGTTAAGGGTGTCTGTGTTGTGTATTGTATAATATTATGTAATATTTTTTATATATAGCCTAAGGCTGGCTGCTCTGGTCTGTATTGCCTCCACGAATCTCCTCGCTGCATTGACCCGAGTTCATAGGTCCTTTCTTCTCACACTGGACCACCAGTATGCGGTATATTTCTAGGAGGACAACAAGGATGTTCTTGCAGGTGAAGAAGATCATCAGCTGGTTGAGCACGTTCTCACAGGCCATGAGGTAGAGTCGGTACACAAGGAAGGGTCCGTCTTGCAGGCCGACGGTGAGCAGGAGGCTCCAGGCCTCTCTGGAGTCGCAGGAGGGGCCCGGGCGGCTGCTGGGGGGGCCGCTTTGGGTCAGCACCAGCGGGAACTGCATGAGCGCCCATGTGAAGAGGCCGAGCCCAGCCAGCACCACAGCCCGGTTCGCTTTGACCTCCGGCTCCCTGAAGGTGTCGAAGATGTCCAGGATGTCAGCACCCAGGCCCACGTAGGCCATGAGGAGCTGCGACAGCTGGTCCCGGGACATGTTCCCTTTGGGCATGAGCCACCGGCCCAAGACCAGCACCATCAGCATGGTCTGCTCCAGTCCCGCCACCCAGTTCTCTGGGTCCAGCTCTGTCAGGCTCTGTGTCGTGTAATATTATGTTATTCCCATGGTTTGCTCCCTTGAACTAGCAGCAATCATTTCTGTGTCTTTAACTGCTACCACAATTTATCCATGTAATGAGGATTTCGTCCAAAATGGCGCATATGACCTCCGCTCACTTGTTTCTCTCTTTGTACTGAATAGTGTTTAACAAAGCAATTCAGATATTCTCTTAACACAAAGGATTTCACTCACAAGGCTAGTTCACAACCTGCTACTTTAATATATTTACCTTCTCAAAAGGCAGTTTAATCTGCAATAATGTACAGTTTACCCACTTAACTGAATGTTTCGCCTTTTTTGAGAGCTGAGCTGAAATCTCCCTGATGGTTCATGTTTAAGCCTGTAACATTTTGGTCACAAATCCAATTCCTCATTAACCAGTATCCAATCAGAGTGAGTTGCGATTCAGGCACTAGTCTGAATTTTGTAGGCTACAGCAGATATTATACATATCCTGAAGCCAGAGCACAAACCCTAGAGCAGGGTTTCCCAACCCAGTCCTCAGGGACCCCCCCGACAGTCCACGTTTTTGCTCCCTGCCAGACAGTCCATGTTTTTGCTCCCTGCCAGACAGTCCATGTTTTTGCTCCCTGCCAGATAGTCCATGTTTTTGCTCCCTGCCAGACAGTCCATGTTTTTGCTCCCCCCCAGCTCCCGACCTGAAAGAGAGCAAAAATGTGGACTGGGGGTTCCCCTAGGACTGGATTGGGATGCATTGCCCTAGATGTATCTTGTTTCTTCAATTACAGCCTATTCCTTGAAGAAAAAAACAATGGGAAATAAAATTCAGGCAGGCGTGAAAGATGGCAAAGCAATCACCCTGGAGTACATACCGCTACGATGGGTATATGGGAGAGGATCTGAAGATCGCTCCCCGTGGAGCTGTTGCTCGGCAGGTTGGTTTGCAGCAGGTTCAGCTCCAGGAACCAAATAGACGGGACGACTGTGCTGAGGTACAGGAAGACCATCGGGGAGAACCTGGAGGCAGGCAGACACCCGACACTTTACTTTTCACCGACCCACAGGAATACAGATGTTGCGTTGATTTGGAGGGAAAACTATTCCCATCTCATGTAGGATGTCCCCCCCCCCCCTCGCCCAAGCAGGGGGTTTTACACACTGCAGGCGAGCTCAAAGGCTTGCAGAAGAGAGGGTCCCAAGGTGAACGCGATCCCAGAGTGCTCCTGGTTCATGGAGATGGGGAAGCTCTCAGGAGAACAGGGCCAGATCCAGGTAAAGGCAGACTAGGCAGCTGCCTGGGGGCCGAACAGCACAAGGGGCCCCAGACAAAGTCAGGAAAAACATATATGTTATAGGTTCATGTATAATTTATGAATAAGAATAATTACACAAAATACAAAAAAAAATAAAACCTAAATATAAAAAAAAATATTTATGTGCAGAATACTGAGTTGCCCAGGACCCCCGAATGACCTGAAATGATCAATTTCCTTGGAAAGGGGGCCTCCGAAGTGAAGCTTTGCCTGGAGCTGAAGGAGCATGAAGCTTCTGTGGGGTCATCTGATGATTCTTGTTGTTTTATGTAGCCACCTCTGAGGTCACCCAGTCAGCTTTATGTTAATTCTGTGCTGACTTAAGTATGGGGGGTGGCAGGCTTTGTAAGAGAAAGTGGTTGGTGAGAAGAGCTTATAGATAAGAGTGGGGGGGGGTTGGCTTGTTTAAGAAAACCAGTGCACTGTCACTGGACCAATATTAAGCAGCATTATGTCAGGCTAATACAGAACAAGCCCCCGCTTTGTAATGACACGCTTAGGTATAGACTCACATTACAATGCCGCAATGTTTAGAGCAAAAACTAATTTAGGGCAAAAAATGAATCCTTATTTGGCACCAAGAGACCAAAGATTGCTGACACATTCTTTGGGAATAATTTGCTGTCTGTCTTTTACTCCATTGTTGGTTTAACCTTGAAGCCCAAAAATACCATTCATGTCCATTAATGGAAAAGGAAATATGATTTAACTCTGTCCACACAGCCTGTCTAATCATTTTAACTCAGGAGCTGTTTTGTTTGTCTCCTGGATTTTTCATTTCACTAGAGTGGTGTTTGAAGTTGATATAACTGGTGTCAGTTTGCAGTGTTTTGACTGTAGTGGAGCACATTTATAGAGAAGCATCATGGGAGGAAGAGGAGGGAGAGGAGGAAGGAGACAGCGCTGGCAGGTAGCGGAGCTTCACCATTTCCACTCTGCACTGCGATTGCACCGGAGGGTGACGGCGATCTCCACGGCCAGCAGGGCGACGCCAGTGAGCAGCAGCCAGTGCGCGGCCTCCCCGGTAGCGGCCACCACACGCCACACGGTGACGGCGCCGTGCGCCGCGAACAGAGCGCGGCTCAGCACCGCCAGCAGGACGTCCAGCGCCCAGGGAGGCCGACCCAGGGGGCATGTTGGCAAGCTCTGGGGCGCCATCTACAGCCAACAGATTTCCCACAATATAAAAAAGATTCAAATACCAAGTGGAGACATTCAATAAAAATGGTTCATACTGTGTCATTTCCTCCAGAAGATGTTCAAAACTAATTCAAAATCATTTTAATTGCAATTTGCACATTTGTATGTGTCAATTTAACCAACAATATGCCAAAAGTAATGTGACCAGTGTATTTATGGTGTCAGTTTAATAGACCAGCCTCTAACCTTAGGGACTCTAGCAATGCATTATGGGAAATATTTCCCTAATCTCTGTATTGTCTGCCACCAACACTGCAGTTTAACGCCTTAGTGAGCTGCCTGACTGAAGAGGGGCCATCTTCACCTTGTCCTTTTCAGCCTTTCAATTCATACCGAAAAATGTTCCATCTGGTTGGGGTCAAGACTCAGTGCTGCTCACTGCAAATTTCCCGGTTTATTCCAGGCTGCTCAAAATATTTGCAAAGCCACGTCCATATGCTCTCAGTTTTCATAGACTGGCATTAAAGGCATTCAAAATCTATTCCAGCAGTTTCTTAATCAGAAAAGTCTCAATATTCAGTCATTTTCCATATCAATTCATACAAAAAATTGACTATTTGTTATTATTTTATGGAAACAATCAGCTGACTTAAGTGAAGGAATCAGCATTGAGGTACCAGACACACTGAGATGACTGCAGGTCCTTCAGCTCTGAATGAGCCACCCTTTTAAAATGTTAATTTGCCCCCAAAGCACATACAGCTCTTTCCCTGATCGCCTCTGCTTGCCACAACAATGAATTTACCCTTTATTCTCATAAAAGTTATTAACTCTTTAGTCTCTGCTTCCAAACATACATCCCCCCTCCCCCAAAACAGACTTACGGGCTTCAGCTTTGTCCTGACCCAGTTGATTCAGTAGAATACTGCTCTCTTTAGATTATCCCCACAAATTCCAGGACCTGGTGTTTCCACTCTCCAAGCTGCACAAGCATGCATGCAACTTTTAAAGGGATCCCCCCCCCCCCCCCCCCATGGCTCACTTTGTCCAGGAAACCTGGAGCATCGTACGGCGCATGGGAGCCAGTGCTCGGGGCAGGATGGCAAGATAAGCAAGGTGCAGGGGATACTGTGGGTACTCCCCGAGGAAGGGGGAACAGGGGGAGGGACGAGTCGCAGATAAAATGGTGCCCATCGTCGTCTGTCATGATGTCACCTTCCCAGCCCACGGAATCGAGTTATCACTGGCCTGGGAGTCGACCCGCCACTGGTTTCCTGCAGAGCCAAAGCCGTTCCCTTCCCCGCCTAGGGCTGCCCCAGCGTCCATCAGGCTGCGATAAGAGTTTCCTGCCCCGATTCCCTCCCACCCAGTGCCTCACTGGCATTACAGAATCCTCCAAGAATACTATGGTGGGGTAAACCGTGGTATTTACAGCTCTCGTGGTGGCCTCGCATCAAACCTGCTTCTAAACACATACAGGAAGTGAGTCTGTTATGTTACAGACCTTTACCAATAATGCCACATGTCAGATCTTCACCTTCAGTGTGTTACTGTAAATTCAAGCTCATATAGGGTACAGTTTTACTACTACTGCATTACACCATACACTACTACTGCATTACACCACACACTACTACTGTAGGGGGCATTTAAGATTCCACTCAGTGGCCTCTGAACCTCTACTGGTGCTGTTTAATATCGAACACCGGCCTGCTTTTAACAATTGAGAGTTACAGTCAGTTTTTCTCGAGTACTCGTTAAAAATCGTTAGAGGTTGACTGAGAGTTAAGACTATCAGCGTTGATGTGACTCCCCCCCCCCACACACACACACACACACACACACACACAGAACCGCTTCTCATCAAGTCACAGGCAATAATTACGAAACACAGGTGCTGAGAAAATGCACGAAACGGGCAGCCGGAGATAAAGGCAGCGGAGATAAACACAGGTGTTGCAGGAACTGCTTTTAATAATCTGGGGACTGTTCAACTGGCGGGAAGTGATAAGGAGTCCCATGTATAAAACCCAAGAGGAAAAAAAACAGAGAGGCATTTAAAAAAAAAGAAAGGGGAGGAGTTAAAAGTGAAATAATAGGAACTGGTAATGGGAGTGGGATCGGGGCGGGGCAGGGCAGGGCGGGGCAGTTAAACAGCCATGCAGGCTAGTCTACGCTGTTCCATTTACCCAGAATTTTGGCAGCTATATTTAGTGTCGCACGTTCTTTGAAGGTCTGTAGTCTCGTGTCCTGAGAGTCCATAGCGATGGTCCTCGCCAGCTAGGGAGTCCCCCAATGAAGGGGGTGACGTCGCAGTGGCCAGCCCTCGCACTGGACAAGGCGGGGGCTGCTCCTCGGGACGGCAGTGTCACTCAACTGTACTGTGTTCACCCAGCATCCACTGGGAAAGAGACCACTGGCACCAGCTCTTACTTATTGCATGTAATTATATGATAACGCCTGTATTTACTATATGCTATATAATGTCTCATTGCCTGTCACTATGGAGTCAAAGTGTTTATAAACAAGACCTAATTAGGCAACTTACATAGGAGGAGATTAATAAAACATGACTGATAACAGAAAATATTACATTTCCAGATAATATATTCAGTTGTAATTACATGCTATAAGTAGGATTAAGTGTTTATTTGTCTGTAAAGTCCTAAGCATCATGACAATATGGCAATATAAAATCAATATAACAGCACCCGCATCCCTTATCTGAAGTTTTTTGGGCATGTATGAAGACACAAAAAGCGGATATTTGTGTGCTGTTCTGTCCCCCCATAGTGTCCTATGTCAAGCTTGTTGTGGATCAAAAGTGCTCCTTTGATAAGTTTGATGTCATTTTTACAGCCACAGTTACAGTGTATTTATGTCGACTGCCTGATTCCAGCATGGTCCCTGCTCACATGGTGTATGCCACCCAATAGATGACGTTCACCGCCGCAAAGGCTGCTGGGAAAACAGCCCTGGCATAGATGTCAATGGTGTCGGCATCGATGGGCTTGAACATGGACTTCAGGCATCCCTTCTTCTCCTCTGGGTTTTCCAGCCGTCTACCCCTGGTTGTCCGTGTTTCTGTGCCATCTGACTCCGCGGGAGCGTCTGCGGGCCGCTGGGCTCGTCCTTGCCGGTTGGAGACCATCAGGCCCTGATTCATGCCCGCGACAGAGAGGGAGTACATAACCATAGCCTGCTTCCCATTCTTCACAATGGACTGTGGGCAGGGGAGATTAACAACAACACATATTAGCATCCCTCTGCGATGAACCTGTGCAGAGCAGATGGACAATCTGTACGGACATGAGGAAACTTTGAATATTATTATGTCGCTGCTCATGCAGAACTTCCACTCAAAGTGATCTCCAGGTTTCGTACAGCTGGGTGTTTCCCGGAGCAGTTCCAGGTTCTTAAGTACATCAGCACCACACCTGGGATTTGGGCTGGGTCCTTCATCTTTATCTGGTGCCTCACCATCATCTCCCTCTGTCCAACAATTCATGTAACTCAATTATACTCTTTTAGTCAGGGGAGGGCCGGCCCCTCCCTTCTACACTGGAGGGTGTATTGGTTTGCGTTCTCGCTCACCACTTAATTGAATTTAACTGAATTACTTAAATTAGACAAAACTGATGGCATAAGCTAGAGTCAATCCTGTTTACTGACGTCGAGCTGCAGTCGAGGAATAAGTACACCGTTATCAAGACTAATTAAGATCTTTCCAATAATCTAAGCCTATAAAATGCAAATGTAAATCCTTAGCCAATATGTTTGGCTAATCTTAAATACATTGAGCCCCTAATTCATTGAGGTTAGAGCAGGAACAGAAAAAGTCCCCCAACCCTAATTTTGGTTATGGACAGCAAGGGCAAAATAAAAGTAAAATCTCCCTGTAATCTTCACACCTATTGTCTGTTATTAAAATGAATTGTGTATTTTTTCATTCTGTATTATAACTATAGAAAGAGAATAAGCATCTGAACAAGCAACAGAGTTATAAGCAGGCATGCTGGATGGTAGCAGGAACCACAGGCTGATCTCTGCTCTCCTTCAGAACCAATTCCTGTGTGACAGGAACCGAGGAACAGGCTAAAATCCACAGAATTAGCAAAACCCCGCCGGGAAACGAGAATTAATCATCTTTCTCACTTTGGAAGTACTAATTAGTTTTGTGCAATATTGTAACCAATCCAGGAGGTCAAATGTTTACTTAGTGCTTCGGTTTCCATAAATATGCCATTTTGGTGCAATATTACATTGCAATAATAATGATGATAATAATAATAACAAAAGGAGAAGTAGAGACTTGGGGGGAAAAAAGTCAATAAACCAGGCAGCTGAATTTGTGTTGAATAAGGTACTTATATAGTTATCTGCTGTATCGGCTTTTCCCCCCCAAGTCTCAGCTTCTGCTTCTGAGAGCACCATGCCTTTCTCAGAGCGCTCTGTACCTCCGCCCCCATCTTGTTGGCCTTGATCCTGGCCCTCTGCTTGCGATTGTAGTCCGCGTTGTAGTGGGCGAAGGCGTACTCCACCAGCGCTGCGAACACAAACACGTAGCAGATCCAGAAGTAGACGTCTAGGGCCTTGATAGCCGACGCCCGGGGCAGGGAGGAGCGAGCACTGACCATCAGGGTCGTCATGGTGAGCACTGTGGTGATCCCTAAAAATCACAGCATCAGTCAGGTGATTAATCTACTGCAGTCACCCACCTAGACTGTTATATTGGTGTCAGGTGATTCACCTAGTAAAATATCCGGTGGCAGAAAACCTGTGTGTGGTATTTATAATTGTCTCTATTCCTGAATGAATTTGCCTTATAGTCTAATCACATTTGAGCTTCATAATAAATAAAAAGAAGGTTAGATATTGATCCCACATTCAAAAGGGTTACTAATTGATGATATTCATTAGCAGTAGATATTTCCATCCCCTGTAGGAAACTTCAAGGTATTTTTTCCAATTTCTCTCTATATAAATCTAATATTTTTAAGTTGTATTTTTCCTGCTACAGCACTCCAGCGTGGGTTAGGGGCAGGAAGGCGCTGGCCATGGTCAGCCTGTGCTGTTATCTTTCTCTGTTAGCCGTTCTCTCTTACATTTTCCTGTCCGTGCAAGACCCGCTTCATCAAGCTTCAGCTCACGGACAAATACCCCGACATTCTTTCACATACAATCAAGAAGTCATTCATCCCTCAATAATTGCAAGCTGTCCGAGCCTTGAGGCTGTGAAACAGCCCCAAACAACAATACTCACCGCCAGGAAACGGCTCTTTTGTTGGAATTTCAATGTGTTCAACAAAGACATGAGAAAGATACCGATTTTGTGTGCAAATTTTTATCACAGTGTCTGTTATGACTTCATTGACAATCAGACCAGACTCTATGTTAAAATGATGCTGATCCTTTTCTCAAAACTGTACAGGATATCATTCACATGACTATTGAGGTGTTTCACCATAGAATACAATGTACCATTGAGAACACCAGGTGTTTCCCTGAACCTGTTCAGGTTTTCTAGTTTAATTTCTCAACCACAGCAATATTTGTTGCCCATACAACCAATAATATACAGCGCATATTTTAATCTGACTGTACTTTTTTGCACACCTTTTAAAGTTACAGGTACTGATAGAGGTACAGGTACTGATAGAGGTACAGGTACTGATTGCGTAAGTACTGTGTGCGGTCGCTGCTGCGTTGTGCTAACCTAGCGACACCCTCGCAGGTACCGCTGACTGGCTGATCCAGAAGGAGACCCAGGACATGGCCACCAGGAGGATGGATGGCATGTAGGACTGGATGATGTAGACGCCGCGGTTCCGTCTCAGCTGGAAACGGAGGCTGAGCCGTGGAAATCGTCCCGCTGTGTGGATCATTTTTTTTTCGAAGGAGACAGAACAAGAGATGGAACTTTTATTTCCCTGACACATGAAAGGATCCCCCTTGTGCACTTTTATTACATTTATAATCTTATATCATGCTGCATATTTCCTGTGAAATATTTTACAAAATCAATGGCTGATTTTGTTTTCTTGTTTATAGAAAGATGACAGCCTTTAAATGCAGAGATGGGCAGTATTTCAATTTAATAAGAACATAAGAAATTTACAAACGAGAGGAGGCCATTCGGCCCATCAAGCTCGTTTGGTTAATGTATTTAACATATGTATTTAAATACTTTTGAGTATTTTGTAATTTATTTTGCTGGACAGAAAATAATCAGCTGTAATTTGTAACAAAATACTTTGAGAGATTGTATTTTATGTATTTAAAATATTTAAAATACTTTTTTTAAAATGTCATTTTATTTCAACAAGCATGCTTAGACAGTGGCAGTGGTTTGTCATATAAGGAAGCCTTCATTAGCGATAAATGAGGCTAGCTACTTTTAAAATTAATTTCTATCAGCTAAACCGAGTCTGTGTAAAAGGGAGAACCAAGTTGTGAAGTTGATGTTACGTATTATATGCGTCAGAACTGTTAGGTCTGTTTTTTTTTGACCATACATCTAAACCAGTTTCTTCTTTGAGTCTGAGGATGTTCAGCGTCCTACTGTAAGACAAAGTGGGAAATTCATGCATTATGGTAATTAATCTCAGAAAGCACTGCTGTGCCTCCTCGCACGAGCACTGACACACCGGCACCCCGGCGAGCCGCCACCACTAATGTTTCGGGAAACACTGGGTGTAGATTAAGGGTGTAAGAGGTCTGAAACCGCGATACAAACGTTCATGATCTCCTATCGTGGTTCTGGAAGATGGAATCGCGATATCCCCCCCCCCCCCCCCCCCCAACCCGCTGCTGAAGGGGGAGCCTGTTCAGCTCTCATTATGTTACTAATATTACAAAAAGTTTTCTTTCATTTCACAGTTAACGCCATAACACATGTAAATCACAAAATTATTATTCTATTTAAAGGTAGGACAAGCATTGTAAATATTACACATTAATTGTGCTGTAATGGTACACATACTACATTTCATGAGAAATTATTTGTAACTTTTTGATGCATTTGTGTCCATCTCTGCTTAAACGTACCAGACTTAAAGTTCATCATCTCCGTGACAAATCTGTAGTCTATAATGGTAAACTGGGAAAGCTCCAGTTTGTCCAGCCCATGGATGTGCACTTGACTCTCAGACCAGTGATAAACAATGTCTTCAGAGGAGTAGCCATCTGGAAAACACACGGTGGGGAGTTTGTTATGAAATCTGATGGCCTCCAGATAGAACAAAGTACTGGGGAACACAGGGGAACACAGGGGTGTCTAGGTCAGCACAGATGAGCACAGGGGAGCACAGGGGAATACAGAGGAACACAGAAGAGCACAGGGGAGTACAGGGGAACACAGGAGAGTACAGAGGAACACAGAAGAGCACAGGGAAGTACAGGGGAGTGTAGGGAAGCACATGGGGAATACAGAATAACACAAGGGAGCATAGGAGAGTACAGGGGAACACAGGGGAGCATAGGAGAGTACAGGGGAACACAGGGGAGCATAGGAGATTACAGGGGAACACAGGGGAGATAGGAGAGTACAGGGGAACACAGGGGAGCATAGGAGATCACAGGGGAGCATAGGAGAGTACAGGGGAGCATAGGAGAGTACAGGGGAGCATAGGGGAGTACAGGGGAGCATAGGAGAGTACAGGGGAGCATAGGGGAGTACAGGGGAGCATAGGAGAGTACAGGGGAGCATAGGGGAGTACAGGGG